TTTTAATCCACCTTTGCTTTACCCAGAAAGCACAGTCCTCCCCCAGCCTGGACCGGAGAAGCAGCAGGAGAGCAGACAAACAAATGTATGAAGTTAAGGTAACCCAAGAGTTTTGATTTTTTTTTCTTTGCATTAGTATTAAGCTTCTTGTTTTCTGCTAGGACTCAGAGATGCACTGACAGGGCTGACGAGCATTTCCTAAGCAGACAAAAAAAACGGTTCAGTATAGTGTTTTGTTCTCTTAAATGCCTAAATTAAAGAAGGTAAAATCCAGCTATTGTCCTGCCTGGTGTCTTACAAATATTAAAAAAAACCACAATTGCCACAGCACGAGAGTGAAGACACTGCAAGGGGTGTCCCACATTCCCTCTGCATTGCTGGCAAGCAAAAGCAAAGAGTAACTGTACGTTCTCCATCACCACAGAGGAAAGAGGTGAAACCCAGAAGTTGGGGGCTGGCTGCCCCCTTTGCAAGAGAGAGAAAGTCTAAATAAAAAAAATCCTTGGGCCATTACTCACCTTATCCTTGAGGAGAATCTCATATGTTGTAATAAGTGCATTGAATTTCAACCTTTTAGACTGAGAGTGGATCCACTCATACTCACGTATCTGTGAGAGGAGACAAACGTTAACTTCAACAAGCTCTATTGTAAGGAAAGAGTTAACAATTGTTATTTTAGCGCAGCTATAGCCAGAGACTCCAAGTCCAAAACCCGTGTTGTTCAAGGTGCCATTTGATGAGCTCAGGGTGCCCAAGAAGATTGTTTCAGTGCACACGTGGTTCAACTGCCCTTGCACAGGTAACAAAATAACGTCAAAACAACTCGCTGTGTCGCCAAAACACCTCATCTGCCAAATGAATGCACCTCCTCACTACTGACACCACTAGACTCACAACATGCGTGTGCTTCGTTGCCTGAATAATTCAGAACATAGGAGGCAAGCACTTTTCCACTGCTATACTCCTTACTGCAGCATGTTTCAGCCCAGTGCAGTAGTAGTTTCCAGAAGGGAAGCCAGTACTCCTGTGCTCACTTTAAGAGGGCAAATAAGGTAGAAAAGTCCCTGCAGCAGCAAATTACAACCAACTGCTCAGCTACACCAGCTCCAGCTGCCTGCAGTACAGCCAGGACTATCTGTCAGCCCCTCCAGCAGAATGTGTCACACACGTTACACAGAAGCTGCTGCTTTGCACCCAGCCTTTCTACCCAACCCCACACCCTCCGCTTTCTGATTACACACCATGTTCCTGCTCATGAGGTCTCCGATGTAAACCACCACATTTATCTCGGGGGCCCACACTTCAAACTCTCTCTGCCATGAGGTTAGAGTGGACAGGGGCACCACCACCAGGAAAGGGCCATAGAGCTGGTGTTGATGGAAGAGATACGACAGGAATGATATCGTCTGAATCGTCTTGCCCAGGCCCATTTCATCCGCCAGGATTACGCTGTTGTTCCTGAAGAGGAAGAGAACAAACATAAATCCTGTCTGAGTGCATGTTTCCACCACTACTAATTTACTGCACACCAGCTCAAATAGCAATCCGTGACAGGGACAGGAAGGGGACAGTGCAAAAACATTTATCTGAACACTTCCAAGCGGATCCCATGGACATCCAGATGTGGCACAGTAACTTGCAAAAAGGAAGAGACTATGATCGCTCCAAATGGGCAAGCAAGGACAGAGGCAAAGGGAGAGGGGAGTCAGTGGCCTAATTTTAGAAGGATATTTCTCAAAGACTTCAACAAGTGCGTAAACATGCCGAGCCAGAAGCCTTTTTTTCAGTTAGGACAATGGAAAATAGGGCTGATATGCACTAGGCTCACACAGCAGCCAAGTCCAGCATGTGAACAGGCCCAGACAGGGAAAATGCTTTTTGTTTTCGCACAAGGTTTCTTAAGTTCATGCTCTAGATAGTTCCTGCTTGCGGCGTCTGCAATGCAGCTGGGCGTGATAACATTTGAAATTCCCTCAAGCTGCAGAAGCAGGATGGGTAAAGACCTCACTTGAAAACAAGAGGGCCAGATCCTACCAGGACAAAAGTCAGGAGACAAAACGAACGTCACATAGCATCTGTACGTACTTGCACCACGAGTGAGCGAGCCAGTTGAGGCCCTCCAGCTGGTAATCTCGCAGCTCTAGGTTCTCACCACCAATGTAAGAAGGCTGTTTCTTCAAGGCAACAAACCTCGGTCTCTGCTTCAATACCTGGAAAAGAAGATGCCGTAAGCCCACTGAAGAAAGAGACAAAGTAAGGTTGAAAACTCAGCAATGAATGTGCATCTGTTCATTGGTTAAAGTCTGTCCACATTTTCCTAGCCCATGCTTATGTCTGCAGTTCAGAAAACCACTCTGGAGCATTATGTTTTGCCTGCTGTCCTCTGGTTCTGATGACCAGGGCTGTGAATTCCCCCCAAGCTGTACATAATGCACACTACATGGAACAAGCTCCACTTTCTTTTTTGCCCTCTTGTTTTTTCTCCCATTGTCTCTGTCCCTCTCCTCCACTATATCAGCATCTTGCAGGCTTTCTCTTTTCCCAGGTGTGCTGTTTCTTCATCCAACTGATATTAAAATTTTGCATTTCTGCAGCAGTTCCTTCTGAGGAGGAAGCGCTCTGCAAGGATTAATTAAGCCTCCCACCCCCCGGGGGGACATAACATTCTCACTGTGCACAGAGTAAATGAAACCAAAAAGGGGTTCACATCTCTGCCTAAAGTACAATACAAGAACAGCAATCAACCATCCAAACACTGGTGGAAGGATGAGAAAACGTTCTCTGACATTTATCCTGACAAAACTTCACATTCCCACTGCTTGTGTCATCACCCAGCCTGGAGAAACCCAGCAACAGGAGAGAAGAGAAGCAAGCAAACCTTGCAGTCCCGGGTAGGGATTGTTTTGGAGTTGTTACGGTTGTTGAAGCTGTCAATGCAGTGCTGAAACTTTTTGCTTATCAGAGCCTCGTCTTCCCAGCTGCACTCGGCATAGGGCAGCCCCATCCACTTACACAGGTATTCGGGGTCATTCGAGGATGTTTTGCGACTGTTTGCTGCAAAATATGCAAAAAAGCTCAAACCTCAGCAACTGTGGTTCTGTGGCTGAACCACAAGCAGGGTTTACAGGGGCTGTCTGAACTACCCGTACAACCACAAGACAGGTCTTGGCTAGTAGGAAAAGTTTAGAGGGACCAAAAAAATGCTCCTTTACCTGGGAAATCTGAATGTCCCGTTGCAGACTTGCTGGTCTTCACAGCTGTGTTTGGAGACAGAAGGGAAGGAAGGGTTTGGCGTGCTGGCAGCCAGCAGAGGGAGCAGGGCAGGCAGGCTGTCACTGCCGCACACCCACGCGTTTTTACAAGAATTGTATTGGAAATAGGTTAAACAGCTCTCCAAGCCAATTCTCAAAACAACTGGATGCTGGCACCTCTGACATGACTGTGCTATTACTGAAGTGTTCAGTAAGTCCTGGTTTTATTTTTAATAATTAATCATGAAAATCTAACCCCCGAGCTGCCTTGCAGCCTAACCACATCCTCAACCACAGCATCACGGAAAGCGGTCCTCACAAAAGTCAGGCCTGTACTTTTGCTTTGGATGCAAAAAACATGCAGCCAAAGGGCAGAAGTCAAAGAACTCCAACATCTCCTTGCAAACCAGTGTATCATCCCATACTCCAGGCAAAGAGAGTGATTGACTCGTATTGTCTGTAAATACAAATCGGTAAACCTGGATTTCTATTGTTCAAATCCCTGAATTTTACACACTGAAATACACTTGACACCAGTTCTATTCTCAGAGATACTGGAGGACAAGGAAGAGGAGAACGCCATACACTCATTCTGCTGTCACTAGAGATTAAAGTTCCCATGTCTTACTTCACTGCTTTACCAAAGTGTTGGGTTCACTTACCAATTACTCTCTCCACTATCTGATACTGTTTGTTCAGCTCTGAAGCTAGCTCTTGTTGGCAGTTGAAATATTCCACATCTTCAGGTGATACCTTGACCAGCCTAGATGCAGGGGAAAAAAAAAAAGGAAACCCATCACAATAATGCTTCTGACATAATGCTCATGGAGGCTACATATAGAAACTCTACTTTCCTACATGGTTCTGTCATTCAGACAAGTCACTGAAGCAGACTACTGCTTACGTGACATGTTTCTTAGAGCTTTCTATAATTATAAATCATTACTGAGAAGCAAATATCATAGATGTTCATACTGTCTCCCTTTTAAATTCTGCTGCAAGAATCAGTCTCAAACCAGGAATCAAACAGAGATGGAAGCTGCTACTCCAGCTCTGTCACTTTGGAAACACAATGTAGCTCCCCTTATAGTTCTTGGGGAGGTCAGACAAACTGATGCAAAAACTTGCATGCAGACAGGCCTATAATTAACAAGAGTTAATAAGGCTGCAAGCCCTCATGTCACCTCCTGGGCCAGGTGAATCTGTGCATCATTTACTCCTTGTCAGCTACCCAAATTCTTAAGCCTAGGAAGCGGCAATATTGTGGAGTGCATAGCTCTTCCTCTCTTTCAACACCATGGCCACAGACATCACTTCTATGAGGGAGATGTTCATCAGTGGGGAAAGAGACACGAGTGTTGTGTACCAAACCCAGTTGCTTTAGATGAAACATGCTTTGCAAGAAGAAATCAAATGTTTTCAGTCCTGACTCTGCAAACCTCTGGCTGAAAAAGATTTGCCCGAGGCTAAATCACTGGCTGATGTAAAGCGTACCATTGCTTGATTTCCTCCTCTTTTTTCTTGAAGTTTTCTAGCTTTTTCATGCCTTTCACTTTCTGCTGCTGCAGGGACTCTTCACTCTCCCATGTGCTATGGATGTACGACCAGCCCTTCCATTTGATCAGGTACTGAACTTCTCCTTCATCCTTTTCAGGATCGAAGTCCGCACTGGGGTTGCCATTGGCTTCAGTTGCATACACTGTGGTGGAAGCACCAGTGGCTGCAAAAGAAATCAGGCTGCAGTCAGTACCTTTGTTATCGAGCATTGGATGTGAACTGCATGAGAGCAGCAAGTTATTTTTCTAACACAAGCAACGACGAGTATCCTACAGATTCTGCAACCCAGTAAGACAGGCACACAAAAGTTTTCCATAAAACAGAACCTTTTTAAATCTATCATAAATGCTTTTTCTTTAAGTATAATTCAAAGGTCTCTTGAAAATGTTCGCGACATTCGGTTTTACAAAAACACTTTTGTAAGGCTATGAGAACAAAACATCAGCTTTATTTTCATTATGGCTTTGTCAATGGAGCTATGAAAACTGACTCTACTGGAAGATCTATTTTATATTTCAAAGAGGAAAAAAGCAAGAATTGCAGAACAATGAATGCATCTTTAAAATGTGTGCACACTAAATGAAAGCTGCCAAGCACATAAACTTGACATTTTAGGTTTTTCAATACCAGATTTTACAAAAGCTGCTAGAAAATAAGTAAGAGGCATAGACAAAAGGGTGAAGAGCACTGAAACAACCCTTGGCTCCACTTTGAAGTTGCAAAAGCATTGCACCAGGTCAAGAGAAACTGCGAGGGCACACAATTGACATCAGAAATAAAGGCTTTTTTCCAGAACTACACACCTCCTTTTTTTCCAAGCCTGATGTCCAAGACTTTCTCAATAGTTTCACTGTTGTCTTGTTGTTCATCGGCTCCTTCTCCAGTCATCTCTATCAGGTCATCAGAATCCGTCTCAAAATCATCATCTTCTTTGTAACTGAAGAAGATCAAAACCAAACTGATAAAAAGCTCCTGACTCTTCCCAGTCCAGAAGGACACAGAATGGCACAGACTGAGGGCAAGCCTCCTCCAGCACTTATCCTGGGGTTCAGGGCATGTTCAGCACACGCATTTCTTAGGTTAGCCACTCAGCATTTTTCCCCCGAGACACTCAGATAGCTACACTTTATCAGATTAATACTCTATCTTGTCCACATACTTTTTCTGACCATGGCCAACACCAGGTGCTTCATGAGGAGGTGGAACAATCCGTGCAGCAGAACCAAGACAATCAACAGAGAAAGCCTCCTCTATCCAGAGAAAAATTATTTTATAATGGAGGTTGCAGAGCATCAAAAGGTTGCATGTGTACCTACACTGCCCTAGGAACTACACTTCTCACCTTTGATGAACATTTAGCCACCAAAAAGTATTCTTTGGGTGGCTCTTTGCAAGTCCCTTATTAGGACTGCCAGAAGGTGAGCAGGTATACTGGGTAACGGGTAATGCTTTACCTCCACCATGTCTCAACGCTCTGTCCCAAGGCATTGCCTATCAGCCACTCTCAGACAACGGGTCTAGTCTAGCACACCTCATTTTCCTCATTTTAATCTATTATTTGCGATTCTTAATCTCATCTGAGAGTGCTTTAGAAACATTATGCAAACCTCCTCGCATTTCTCTAAAAGGGACTGGTAAATATTCCCTCCTGTACAGGTGACAAAACAAGATAAAGAGAAGTCGGATGTTCTCAGCATGAACCTGTCAGAAGAACCACTTCTCAGCCAACAGGTATCTGCAGGGCAGAGCAGGGTCTCTCTGCAGGATCGCACAGGGAGTCGGGGCCCTCCGGTGCCCCCTCTTCCCCAACCAGCCAGCTCTCATCACCAGGCAACCCCACGCTTCTCGATACCTGACATTTTTGGCTGCTCTTCGTCGAGTTTGTCTCTTGGGGGTCTCATCATCTTCGTCATCATCATCATCTTCAGATGAGTCCTGTTTCTTTCTCTTCTTCCCACGCTGGGGTTTGTGGGGCTTTTTAACACTGGTTTTGGCCACTGTTCTAAAATAAGAATTAATAGAAAGCCATAATACAGTGTGTTTTACATATAAACATCCATTTTAGTAAGTCTTCAAGAAAGCATAAATCTCAAATATTAGACTCCTAGGGATTTAGCCTGCTCTAACTACCATGGAAACCACTGCATCACTCACCAGAGCATGAAATGGGTAGACAAGAGAGTAACTAGGTCCTAGGTTTACTAGGTCGTAAACAAGGGTAATATTGCAGAAAAAAAAATTCTTTAGTGACAAATAGAGATTAACTTTCTGCCCAGCACATGCAGGAAAGACATATGGAGAAAAAGAGACAGACTGAACCAAGCCTTCCTTACCTCCTTTGGGCAGGTCTTCTCGCTTTAACTTTCTTCGGTTCAGGCTCACTCTCTCCACTGGTGCCTTGCTCCCCTCCATCTTCATCCTCTTCTTCACCAGAGACCTCTCTTTTCCATTTATTTCTATGGTCAGAAATGTAGGTCATGAAGGGCAATCGTCTTTCCACACAAACACTTGGCTAAGCAGACATCCAAGTCATCTAGGTTAAGACTAGCAGGCCATAATTATGAGAAGTTGTTCAAAACTGCACTCATGGTTGTTCAGTGCAATGCATGGGGGATTTTATGGCATGATTCTCTGCTTTTAGGAAGAGACCTCAGTCACCTAGGGCTTAGCTCATGTAGGGCCAGTATATTTTGAGTGAGAGTGGCTCTTAACACATACTACAACAGTATTTGTAGCAAAGGTGTACATCTTACAATGGGTGGGAAAGTGCTTAAATTTATTTATTTTTCATTTCCACTTCAGCATTTCTGAAATGAGCTGGAAAAACCAGCACTCACTTCTGGAGTATGAGCCACAACATACACAGTTACGTGATCTCCTTGTTAGCCCAGCAAATGGAGCAAGAAGTCTCCTGCCATCTAAATCCAGGTAACTGAAGTTTCCGAGGGTGAAGCCAAATCATGCCATACCATTAGTGGAAGGAAGCAGGTTCTCTGCGGACAATTCGGAGCAAAGCTGCAGCTCTGAAATGCCCTCTGAAGGAACCTCTCCTCTCTCCAAGGGGTATGTGGGGAGTCCGCAGAGATTATTCCCCTCGCCCAGGAGAGATCCATACTACCACAGTCCTCCCTGCACTTCATTACCTTCCCTCCTGTTCTGCACTGGTGTGTACAAGTGAATGAAAAACTAAAAGACATGAAACAGGAGGAAGAGAGCTGGATCACGTGGTTGTGTTCAAGTTTTGTCCAGCAGGCAGCTTTTAGTTCCTTTCAGCTCACTTTAGTGTTTGGAAAAACTAGAAGGTACTTATTAGATGGAAAAAGGCAGTAAAATATGACCGTAAGTGAACTGAGTTATGGTGATCAGACATCCAAAATATCCTCTCTGGAAGGTCTTTTGTTGTAGCAGAAGGTTATGAAAGATAAGGGAGGATAATTTGGCATTTTATTCTCTATTAATCAAAAAGGGGAGAAGAGCAGGGATTAAATTGTTTTAAGTACCTCTGAAGGAGAGTAAGTAACCTGATGGAGAAGTGAAAGACTGACAACAGAAAGTGAACCTGACTTGTTCAGATTCTGTCACAGGTAAAGTGGGAAAACATAAAAAAAGAAAAGTTGGGAAATGGCATCCATCTGTAGATCCGTATTCATACGTCAATTTTAGTCATCCAAAGAATTATTACTGGAAATATTAAAAAAATTATTTTACAAGCTCTCCATGTTGACAACGCCTATCAAAAAATCCAATACTACTGTTCTGAAAAATAAAACCAGACCAAGTACCACCATTCAAAACCCTTCTCCTAGAAACTTACGTTTTTTTCATTTGCTTCTGGCCTCTTCTTTTTGGGCTTTCATTTTCAGATTCACTACTTGCCTTTAATTGAAAAGAAAGAAAATCAGGTTGTAGGCTTCACTCTGGACTGTCTCCTCAAGGATGCAACTGAAACGCATGCACGTGGTCTGAGCTCAGACACAGCTCGACTGCCCTTTCACTGCAGCGCTGGAAGGATGCTTTGGTGTGACAGGGCTGCAAAATTGCAGCCAGCTCCCCGGCACCTTTCCCTCTGTGCTGCCTCGGCTGCAGGGTGAATGCCGCTGTGCTCCCAGTGTGAAGAAGGTAACTCTGCAGAAAGGCTGGAGAGCTCTGCTACGACATCTGGAGTCCCTGAGCTTGGGAAGTGCGAGGCTGCGACCCACCTACCCCTCAGCAGCGACCTCCAATACTTGGCGGATGCCGTCTCAGCGGTGGCAGTGGCCAGGCAGACCTGCAGTGTGTGCAATACCCCACTGTTTACAAAACCACAGGGTGAATTTAACCCACCAGACCTTGCACTGCCCAGCGCTGGAGGCAAAAGGCACCCCAGAGAGAGAGGGCAGCTCAGCTGCTGCTACCTCTGCCTGCAGCACAAGGTGAGCATTGCTCCTGCCTGATGCTGGAGAACCAGGCAGCAGTGTGACTTTGTGCTTTCTGGACAGAGCTCCGAGGGCCTGCCGCAGCGCTAGGGCTCAGCTATTTTAAAAGGCTTTTAACTGAAAGAACAGTGGCTGAACGTACTTTTGTGAGCGCCCATACTTGCCATTTCAGCAG